TCTTGAAAAGCACCTTGAGTTTGGAAAATGTCAACTACAACTAGAAAAAGAAACGCTTTTTAACAAGGCTAAAACATTATATCAAAGGAAACTCCTCGAAGGCGGATGTTCTTCAATAACTATCCAGGCCGAAGCGCTGTCTCAGGAGGGCAGCGCACCGCTCCCAGTGGGTTGGGCCCTAAGCTCATCTAAGACGGGGAATTGTTTCAGTGATACCCAGAAACGTTACCTCGAAGACAAGTTTATGATTGGTCAAGAAACGGGCCACAAGCAAGATCCAGCAGTCGTAGCACATGACATGCGCTTCGCTCGAAACAATAAAGGAGCAAGACTGTTTATTGTTCAGGAATTTTTGACTGCCAGACAAATCCAGTCTTTCTTCTCGAGGATGGCTGCAAAACTACGACGTCAGGGACAGTCGACATGCGAGACCGACCTGGAGCCTAATGATGACGATATAGCTGCAGCAGAAGAAGAACAGGCCTACGAGGACATTCGTACGCTAGTCCTTAGCGAAGTCCAGCTCCGCCATCCTATCGTGTTCGACACCTACAATCTGTGCAAAATGTGCAAAGAAAGTAAGCTGAATAAACTAAGCATACCCATGCTTCGGAATGTCTGCGATCACTTTGACATAAACATGGAAAGCACTACTTCTGGGCGCAAAGCCCCTTACATCGCAAAGATAACAGAACTAGTTGAAACATGCGACTGCAACTGAAAATGACTAGAATTGTAATATGACTTATTTACCTAAAATGAAGGCAAATGATCAAAACTGCTCTCAATTATGGTGAAAATCAACTGCATTGTTAGTGTTCCATTAATCAGCATGCATACATGCACTGCGTTAATTAACACTGAGATTTGTTAAAGGCGCATTTCAGCCTTTTTGATTGAAGAAACTAAAACGAAAATCAATTATGCATAATTCAAGATCAGTAAAGTCAATGTTTTTAACAATAAATATGTTTTAAAATATTAAAAACATTAAGTTGGCTGACTCTTGAATTATGCTTAATTTATTTTCCTAGTTAGCTTTTTAATTAAAAGGCCGGAAATGCGGTTTAAATGCAGGCCTTGAATCCTGGTTCACCTATGCCTGCGGTATGCCTGCGCTATCATTGTTTCCAGCTGTTGATGCATACATTATTTTGTAAATTATTTGGTTGAACTGTTAAACGACAATAGCCCGCCGACGGCCGACATACCACAGGTATATGTGAACCAGGTTTATTGTATACTCAATTAATACTAGCGACACTAGCATTATTAATATTATTATACATTGTAGTTGATAAAAGCAATTTGATTGGCTAAGAGCTTATAGTTAAATCGCGCAATCACGCAACCTACACACAATTCAGTTATCTGCTAGCAGATAACTGAATTTTGTGTAGGTTGCGTGAGGTTGAATGAGTGTACATTTCAAATGAGTGTACATTTCAATTTTCAAATGAATGTACATTTCATAATTGTAATGTTTACTTTAGCAAGTAAGTATTTTAATACGTTAACATCTTAACGATAATATGTTTCTTATATATTTGTAACTAATTTAACTGTTGGACTTCCGGAGACTTGTTTATAGAAACGTTTTAGCAAGAGCAAAGAGCCTGGGAACGAGATTGATTGAATATGACGCTTACCGAGACCTTGATAATTTTGCATATCGCAAAAAATTTAAAATATTAAAAAATTATGTTTATTATTCTTCAAATGTATAATAAAACAATTATTGAATTCGGTTTTTGCGATATGCAAAATTATCAAGGTCTCGGTCTCGGTAAGCGTTATCAGCCTCGCCTTCGGCTCGGCTGATAACGCTTACCTCGACCTTGATAATTCCGCATATCACAAAAACCCCATCCCATAATTGTTAATTATAATATGTAATAATTACAAATATACATCAATAGTACTCATCGATTGGCCTTTATGCTAAGATTGACCAAAATAAACACTTTTCTTTCAGTTAATAATTAAAATTAATACTACCACTTCGACTCAGTTTTACTTCCACTTATTATTTGTTTACGTCTCGAAAACTTCATCCGTATTTAGCCTACAAGATGATTATCAGAAGTATTTAATCTTCCTCCAAAAGGTAAACTTAAAGCGAAGAGAACGGCAGTAAAACAACAGTGCAAAAATCAAAGAACAGACAATTAAAATGTCACAGTCTCGCGTTTCACAATTTACAGTTCATAGATATAGATCCCTCATGTATATAATTGGCTATATAAATCACTTGTTCTAAAAAAATATGCACAAACTTGCTCATTTATTATAAGTAATAGTCTCTAAATTCCTAACACATTTCCTAGAGTGTATATCTAATAATTGTTCGTGCTGCTAACTTTTAATTTTTGCCCTTTTAACATTGTCTTATAGTTCGTGATGTCGGCGGCACGTTGCATTCAATAACTGTCAGGGTGCCTTGTGTCTTACGCGAAAATGTTGCGCAGTTTAATTTTCCCAAGGATTTTATTGCATAAGGAGTAAGAACAAAGGTTGCACTTTCGCCAGGTAAAAGTCTTAAGAAACAATGCCATGTACCAGTGGATGATATTTACGTTCAAACTTCCTTAATTTTCTGTTGATTGAAAATTAACCTAAATTTAGATGTCTGTGAAACTTTAAATATTATATGAAATTCCACCAAAATATCATTCGCTGGGGGGAAATTAATCCTATTTCCTGCTCACGTTTTCAAAATTTTACAACACGAAGTGTTCAAAAAATTTTGGCCCTCTATAGTACTCTAACTAAAATGGCCGACTCGACACGGAGAACGTGGAAGACCAAGAAATTTTCGTCAGTCAGGAGGAATACTCATTCGATTGAGCTGAAACTTTGACTGAACTAATATTTTATCTTGATCGTTATTCTGTGAAATTTTGAGCTAATTCAATTTTCGCCGTATGAAACTCGATATTCGATATTTACAGGGAGCCGCTCTTAAGGTTTTTGTGTAATAGTAGGATAGTCTACAAATTAACTTGGACTGTAGAATAATCCCAATTTTTATTTTGTAGCCCATTACTCACCACAGAAAATTACAAATTGGCACAGCAAGGCATGTTCAAGGGAAAACCTGGCATTGTGTACACAGACGCTGAGAGATACCGTACAGCAAGAACTGGTTTAATTTATGGGCTTCAGTTACTTCACAATGTAAGTCATTGTGCAGAACTTTATAATAGTGTGTGTTAATATTTCTCTGCCATTACAATATAGTGATGTGACTGTGTTCTTATTCGACTGTGTTAACCCATTGAGTTGCATTATGCCCAACTTTATTATTTTACTTTGTCTAACACCAGACTATTTTACTCGTTAATGGGTATAACTGTCCTATCCGCCCATGTGTCTAGTTAACCCATCGAGTTGCATCGTGCCCTGATGCACCCTATTTTAATGATTATGCTACTCTGTCTAACGCAAGATTATTTCACTATGTCTAATAGACTAATACCAGATTGATTACAGTGATTACAGTTTTTGAAGAAAGAATTGTTTAGTATCCGTACATGGATTAAACCATTAACCTATATTAAGATACTTAATCTATATAAAACCTTAATCTATATGTGTATTATAGAATTAGAACTTAACTATATATGTGTATTTTAATCTGTATAGAAATTTATTCTATGTTTGATCTTTTTGTAGAGTTACAAAACCGTTGTATCATGGCAGCTTTGACATATGTCCTTGAGGAGAAGGAGCATACCTCAGGAGAGCATTCCTTTAATTAAAGTTGTTCTTGTAAGTGAATTTTGTATATTTTATAACATCTAGATAGAATGTTTGTGATGTTACTCTGAGTGTGAATCCACTCCGGGCAAGCTGAAAAGTTAGCTTGGCCACGGTGGGAATCGAACCTGCGATCTTTGAGATACTAGTCCAATGCTCTGCAAAATAAGCTACATGGTCAAGTCGGTTCGAGTTGATGATATTTCGGAACTGAGTCTAGTTCCTTCTATATCAGTATATTCTATATGATTATTTTTTATGTGTGTTGGTGTTATGTACTTATGTACTTGATGTTATGTACTCAGGTGATGTACTCAGTATGAGAAAAAATAATCAGACATATAGAATGCACTGATACAGAAGGAACTAGACTCAGTTCCGAAATATCATCAACTCGAACCGACTTGGCACATAGCTCAGTTGGCAGAGCATTGGACTAGTATCCCAAAGGTCTCGGGTTCGATTCCCACCGTGGCCAAGCTAACTTTTCAGCTTGCCCGGTGTGGATTCACACTCAGAGTAACATCACAAACATCATATTCACTGAGTACATAAGGCCAACACACACAAAAAATAATCTAGATAGAAATTATGAAGTGATGTATATTTTTCTAGTGTAACTACAGGAGAAGAAGTACAATATTTAGACAAAAGTGTAAGTTGTGCATGAAATGCTTATTTCACTCAGTTATATATTTCCTTGTTGCAGGATGATTCTGAAATTGCTCCCAAAATATCAGGATGCTCAACCCCTCGTCTATTGGCCACTGGACCAGTGGATCTCTGGAAGAGATAAGTTCGATTTCATTGATTGCAGAGGGAATGGTTGTAAAAAATTCAGATACGATCCGTGCAATATTACCAACGCAGTGGCACGTTTGCTTGCAGGGTACTACGTTTTAACATGCAGTACCCAAAAGGGGCCAACAGGTCATAGTAAGAACATTTACATGTTTTAGTAATTTAGAACATGTTCTTTTGGCCAATAATTGCCATACCGGTACTTTACCAATTGACGTGAAGAACTTCCTAAGCTAAAGGATTTTATGAACACATTAAATGGAACAATTTATGCTAATGAAATTTATGATAATATTTTATCACTACATAGCCCATGTATTGTACATGCAGGATATATTGTCCCGAGGAGAGTTATGACCCTCACAATCATGGGCTATTTCTGTGAATGTTTCTATATAGTATAACTCTAAACTATATATACTATCTAAGCTTACAATTATATATATAGCTTACAATTGTGTGAGATAACCATTGTTTCTTCTATATACAGTATGAACAGCTTTTATTTTCACAATATAATATGATGACCGCATGCCATCAAACTCTGCTCCACTTCCACTTTACTGTTTTGCAATTGTCGCACACTGGAACTCAATTATCTCGTAGATTATTTTAATTATATATTATATATAAGACTTATGCATTCCTTAAAAAAAATACATGATTTTTATCAAAGTACTGAAATTGTTTTAATATTTACTTATTTGACTTTGAGTCAAATATTGATTTTAACCTATTTGATTTTAACCTATTTGATTTTAACCTATTTTTTTTAGGTTAGATCAACCGCATGTAACCTATTTTAAAGGGCTGGTTTAGACTCATGGCCCTTACCATTATTTATAGGTTATTTCAACCATAAAGAATAGGTTATATTTGTATTAACCAAAACTTATAGGTTAAATTGACCAAATATTATTGGTTAAAATGACCAAATATTTATAGGTAAAAACAACCTATATTTATTTGGCAAAACAACCTATATTTCTGAGTAGATTTAACTGTTTAAATTTAGGTTGTTTTAACCTAAAAATAAATGTTATAATAACATATTTTAAATAGGTACAATTAACTATATTACAGGTTAAAATAACCCACTAGAAATGGTTTGTTTTAACCTATTTACTTTGAGTTATTTCTACCTATTTAAATAACCTATTTTAAACCGGTTGTCCTAGACCAACTGAAATAACCTATTTTTTTGGTTATTTTAACCTATCAGTTTTTACAGTGCACCGCGCTAACCCGGCTAGCTGGGCTGAAGTAGCTCATTAAGATTTGTAATGCTTAACAATTTAATACTCGGTGTTAGAAATCGATTAAAAATGGTGTATTTGTTGTATTTGAGGACTACTTTACCCATTGAATGTTGTTGGTTGAGGTATTTATACGTAGCGCTGATCTCGACAGGCTTTTACTGTTTGTATTCTAACAAAATTATGTCGCTTCCTATCTAAACCTTGAAAACGTTCATTATTATCATTTTGATGTTATTTGAAGTTTTTTTAAACTTATATTTGTACATATAATCGAAATTAAAACATGCATAAGTGTGGTTTTTAGCCCGCTTTGCCGAGCCAACTCGGCAAAAAGCGATTACATGGGATATGTGGGCAATTTATGTCCCGGCTAAGCGAGTTGACTCGGCAAGCTACATGCAGCCGCGGTCCCGGCAAGGTGGAACAACTCGCTTTGCATGTAATCGAAATATCAAAATAATAGACAATACATACAGGAAGCGGGTCAACTCGGCAAAGCGAGTCAACTCGCTTAGGCGGGACAACTCGCCCATGTAATCGGCCCCTAAATTGACGAGTTGTATTATTTTCAGAATGTACTGCGGTTAATAACTCTACCCCTCGTATCCACCCTTACGACAAATTACGCTACATCCCAAATTCTAGGATATATCCCGAAGAGGTGAGACCCTAAAACTGATTGGACTGGTTGGTCTGCTGACTTGAATAGTAAGTTCAATATATGTGAAATGTAATAAAATTCAATAATATTGCAATCAATCACCTGATTATTCTAGGAACTAACCTACTAGAGAAACAGATGTTAAGAAAGGATTGCAACAAAGACTGTAAAAATTGCCTAAATAACATTTCAGGAACGAAAATTCGGAAAAGTGGGTCAATTTATCTTGACCACAAAAGCACTGGTATTTCCGAATTGAAGAAAGAAAAGTTGAAAGGAAACAAAAACTCGATACTACGGCGAGCCCGTTTAATTATTAAAGTGCCTATATCACTTGTGCATGGGATCTTTACGAATTTGGAAAAAGCGCAAAAAGTTAGTAAGTTGATCAACCTTTTTTGATTTGGTTCAGTATCTTCCGAGATATTGACACTCAAACATGACAATTTTCAAAAAAATCCGTCGTGCTTGGGTGCCTGGGACTCAGGAACGCGACCGTAAACAAACACTATATAATTATATTATATTTTGATGCTGTATCTTACTAAAGTGAGAATTTTTGCAAGAAGAGTCGGTTCATTAAGCTTAAAATCGTTCTCTGGTACTGAAAAAAGTTCCTACGACTGCGCTGAATATAAAATTGAATGTGAAACGTATAAAACGACTTCAAAATCAAATTTGAAAGTGCTCCTTCGTAGATGACATATAGCTTCGTCGAGAGCTACACTGACGAAATATGGCAACGAATACGTTTGAAAGTTAGAAGAATATAACAAGGAAATAAGGAAATTCATTTTCACATGAAATGGTCCTTACATGTACAGTATATCTGGATAGTTCTTCGTCTATTAAAGTGAATAATATATTTCAAATACTCATTAATAATTTATAAACCTTGTGGCAAATCATGTCGGCCATAATATGTCACGTGGAGTGACTTTATATCTGATAAGCATGAGGCATTATATAATTGTTCATCCTAATTAGTATGATTATATAATGGTTCATCCTAATTAGTATTCTTTTGTAGTCGTATTTTAAGCTATTCAAAATACTCGTTGTCGTGCTTTATCAGACATGAAACGCGAGGCGCATATCTGATAAAACACTCCTACTCGTGCTATAAATAGTACGTAAATGTCGTGCGACCGCCACACTGTATTTGCCATTTGCAATTACCATATTTTGGGTTGTCTTTGAGTAATTATGGTTTGCAGGTTGAATTATTGAAATATATCTAAATTAAGTAAAGGAGGATTTTGTCGATTCTATTTTGTACTGTTGAAAATCGCAATACATTTCATGATTCAAAGATTGTATTAGCTTTATTGCTGCAATAGACCAATATATAAATACTTTGCTTGGCTTTGTTGTTAATAATGATAAAGGTCCCAACATTCCAACCCTTGCCAAACAACCTGAACTTGGGAGGGTTGGAGCCATGATGACATGTGCAAGGATCCAGGCAGCATCGCATGATTTTGGTGGCTGTTTATGCGAGCCTGCTTTGCAGGGATGACCCTGTTTGAAAGGTCTTCTATAGACTACAGATGAAAATTATTGAGTGGAAATTTATATACATTTATTAACGACCCTACTATAAAAGACCCTTCAACTATTATTGAATCGAGTGAGAAGCCAACAAAATCTCGATATTTTCTCTTCTCAAAATCTCTTCCTAAGCTGTTCTTGTTGATCAAGTAGTTTTTAAATCAAACATTTTCCTGTATACAGTAGTATGTATTTCCTTTTTTCATGACTTTGACTCCTTTGTCTGTTGATTTTTTTGAAAAAAATAGACTAGATATTATTTTCAAAACATGTGCACTATGTGTGCTGTAACTTTATTAAATGCAAGTTTAATAATGACAAAAAAATCGAGCATGCATTAATTAATGTCGAACTAACCCCAAATAGAATTTTTTGTTTGTGTGATATTTGCGTAATAGTTCTAAGACGAAAAGTAAAAAACCTCATCTTGTCACATTTCAAATTCTCCGCGATTTCTAGCGATGATACTTGATCTAAAGCGCATTTGATCATCATATCCTCGGGAATCGTATACGACTGGTCGTATCGTGCAAATGGTATAGACACCGAACATTTGGTACTAATAACACAATGTGGACTTGAGGCTGAGTCTGTTAATTTCAAAGTAGTAGTAAAGACGTCTGGCCCCTCTTGTTAAAATCCCATGACATGTCATTTTGATGATTTGGGCTATATTGTTGGAAAATGTACAATTTTAACATTTTGTAACCTCATACAGTGTACATATATCAACATATTTTCTTCCTATATTAACGTCGGTATCATCATTTTAGCTACTATACTTCAATTTGTGTTGACCATTCTCATTCTTTGTGAGTTCGAACTAAGTTTGTTCTAAAATTGTATATGTTATTACCAAATATATCTTATCTATAAGACGCTGATGACGGAAAAGATGACTTGCCTTTCTATCTACCTTAATTGTCTTCCATTTCATTAGAGTTGTTGTTGGGTTGTCGTGAACATATATCTTCATTATTCCTGTACTTGCTGATCCAAGTTTGAAAGGATTGAACAAATCTTACCCTTTGATTTTCCATTCCAAAGAAATACAGGAAGGGATTGCAGCATGAGTTTATAAACGTGAAAGCGTTCAACCAACTCCATACATCAAATTTTTCGTTACCAGCTAAACTTTTGTTCACTGCTGAATACACTCTGAGGATGCAAGAGGGGAGGTAAGTTGCGTAGAACAAGCACATAATGGCAAAAGTTGTACGTACACTTTTCCTTAGAAAGAAAAATCTCAATTGAGATCTTCCTGAAAGTTTGGAAATATTTCTCGTTTGCTTTCTTGCTGTTTTTAGTAAGACACCATATATTACAGAGAGTACGACAAGCTGAGCGAATGATATTGCGGATAAAAAAAAATCGTAGGCTTCATTTTTGTCCAAGGTAATGCTGATTCCACGTATGATCCCAAGAACAATGGCCGATATCCATGATATTGCAATGAATGCCCAGCACACATTTGATGTTATGAGAATATTATACCTCAAGGGCCATATGACAGCTATAAATCGGTCGATGGCGATACATGTAATGGCATTGCCTGTTGAAAAAATACACACGACAAACAAGGACGCGTGGATATACATATATTCAGTCGCATCCCGTAATATGAGCAAATGTGTACGCCAAGGAAGATACGTTGTTAAAGCGATGAAGTCGGATATGGCTAAATTTAGAATCATTTTATCCGAAGCAGTGCGTCGCGATCGTTTGCGATGACGAGAAACAAGCAAGTAAATAATCACACATAAATTTGCTGTAGTTCCAACCAATATTTGTGAAGAAGTGAAAATTACCAACCATGTTGAATGTTGTGAACTAAGAAGCCTCGTTTCTTCAGTCGCCGTTATTTTTCAGTCCAGCATTGACTAGAAAATAATGACAATTGCATGATCATTTGAAAGTATGATGATCAGTTACTTCCAAACAACTACAAGTTCTCCTGAATTTCCGACATCTGCGATTTACACTCAGAAATTTCCGACAAGGTAATTGTTTATTTGCGTCATTTTGGCCGCTTTTCAACATTAATTCTTGACCAGTAGGAAAACGAGTCAATGGGAACCAATCGGTTCCTTTCAGCTGGAGGACGAACGTGACTATAATCTAGTATTTTGCTGTCTAATAAAATCCTCTTTACTTTAATTGCGTACGCGTTATCGAGTGTTTTTTCCAAATGCATTTCATCTAGGAAAGTATGAGATCTTTGTTTCGAAGGGAAAACTAACGAATAAGCCGTTTTGAGCAAAGCCATGAACGAACTGGTGAGATAACGTGATACTCCTACAATGTTAGTGACTATATAAGCCTGGTTGCCTCTCATTTCTTCGAAATTAAAAACCAAGTAACAAATTTCGTTATACAGAATTGCTTTAATCTCGATTATATGGTCTAGCAGAAAACTTTTCGTGAAAGAAAATGTGGATTTCTGGCCGTTATTAGTTTAACTTTAGTCCATATTTTAATGAACTGTTAATGTAGGGTTCCACCATATTTTGCAAAATTTGGTATACAAAAACTAAAAAATAAGTGTTGATTAACCTTCATTGAAGTAAATAAGTGCAACTGTTGCTCAAAATTGTTACTGTTAACTGCATGTTGAAATCAATAGTTATTACTCTTCATCAATGTCAACATTGTCTTCGTTGTCAAGGATCTCCTCAGCATTTTGTCAACTGTCTCCTCTGCAGTCTCCACAGGCTGTTACAAATTTCAGCCCATGTTTACGACATGAGCAACTGTTATTACCACATGGATTTCTAGAGGATAGTTTACATTTGCATCTTACAAACTTCAATAAGCATTCTGGTATGCATCCAAGTCCGTGAGAACTGGTGTTAGTATTGTATCAGCAAGTTTCCAACCCCATTGTGTCAGATTCAGGTAATCATTTGTGAGCTTCAACCAAGTTATAACTTGCAAGTGAACCCGCAAACTGTGAAAAAATTCTGCTCTCTCTGTAGGTGGAAGCTTGTGTGAATCAATTGATGCTTTGCTTGTAAGTACCATCTCCATGTATTTAGAGTACCGTAGACTGTTCAAAGAATCATTTGCTCTGCCACCATATAGGAAAACGTATAACCGGATAACTGCTATGCCAATCTGCTCTACTGTAATCGGTTAAAAAGAAAAATATCCCCTGCAATTCTTCTGATTCTTTCTTCTTCTTCAAAGACTGGTTTTGCCATGCCCATATGTTGCAGATGTGGTGTCGCAACCACTCCATGCGTGGATAAACAGGAGATGGGATGTTACAACTTTGCCAGCTTTGTTAACAAGGTCTTGAACTTTCCACACCTTCAAACCTTTCTTTGATCTCTTTACCTCTGAATGGAAATATATATCAGCCATATTCGCGTTCCAGTGGTACATCAAGAGGATAAGTACATCCGTGTCATTTGCTACTACTTTTACTTCTCTTTCTTGTCTTGCAAATAGAAGAGCAGTTTCCACTGTCAATGTGTCAGCATCTCCCGTGCTGTTATGTAAAATCTGGCCATCAGCTTCCAAGCATCGATTCAGCAACGCTATGAACTGACTTTTGTTTTTCTCGTTCGAGAGGAAGGTCTGCTGATCACTGTGAGCCTTTATATTTTCACTGAGCTGAATATCAGCGCATGTTTTACCAATTCTTCGCTGGTGCTCGTGATCTTTAATCGTCGGACCCTGTCCGTAACCATCAAACACAATACAACAGTCGCGATATCTTGTACGCACATAGTTTACATATGGCACCGCTATGTCTTTGTATGTAACATTCTTCTGCCATTTCACTTTATGAATAGGGGCTCCGCAATCGAGAACATGCATGGCTTGCGGGTTTTCTCCAGAGGACTGGACACTTTTCTCGAGGGCTTGTGCTAGTTGAGATTTTACAGATTTACGCATAAAATTGTCCTTGAATAGCGAAGTTGGCATTGCCGTAAGCTCGTAGTCAAAGTATGGAGTCGTGTTTTCATCTCTCTGTGCAATAGCTATAAGGCGATAAAACAGATGATTTGGGTGGATGTTAATTTTCTGTTTATCAACTTTGATTGCTGGATGCAGATGATCTAAAAACCTCACTTGATCATTTCCTTTAATGGCTGCTTCTACGGCGCTCATATTGTCCATATTTCGATGGATATGTACCCCGAAGGCGAACAGTCTTTCTTACACCACGTCCTCTAGTAAGTCCTCCTCTGCTTTTGATGGATCTCATCATAACCTGTTCGATTGTAAGATCCGTCCATAACCTGCCCAGAAGCGATTGCTTCTGCGGACTGTATGGAATCCTTGTTCTTGAAAGCAATGGTATAGCTATGGGTAGTCTGTTCGTAATTCCAGCGTCAGCTGCAAATACAGGTGCACTCTTTGCATAATTGATGTGGCCTGTTGCAGCAAATAAATTCAACATTTACGTAATTGCGACTAGATGCAGGTTCCAATCACCACAATTTTGCTAATGGTGACCTCTCGGCAAGCAATTCTTTATACTTTTGTAAGCAATGATCCAATTTTTTCAGTTCCTTGGATTCAGAAACACTTACAACGGCTATAGATTGATCTTTGATCCCTTCATACAAGTGATTAATCTGCTCCACTTCTGCAGCATCCATATCTATATCCGTTTCTGCAGCAGGTATTTCCATCTTGGCCTCGATCAAGGAGTCCTTAAGATTCTCAGTAATTTCAGTTCCGCAATCTAGATAGTACCTGTTTCCACCTCTCTAACAGGTGTTGCAATTGCAATTTCAATTTCCATAACACATGATGAGCATTTCATAATTTACCATTTCAAGCGTGTCCATCGATATCTCACCCGATTCAGTACCTTCAAATGTATCGTCTTCGTTCAATTCGCATGGTAAAACTGATATCATTAACTTATTCACTAAAGCAGATTCTACGAACAAGTGTCCATGCAGTGTTCTCGAAAAAGCCTTCCTGCATTAGGCCCGTACACCGTTTCTAATGCCTCCTCTAGTCCAGAGCCTTTCATCATAGAGCCAATGCTACCCATAAAGCTCATCATCGTGTGAAAGACTCCAAGACTGCAAAATATTTTCATTGATTTTGCTTTGATGATATCCGTTGCTTTGAGCCATAAGGGTTGATCGAATGTGATGCATGGGGTTCGAATATCCAATTTCTCTAGATATAAACTAAAGTTGAGTAAATGCAGGATTCATCAGAAGGATTTAAATCAATGATTGGTAGAAGAAGGACTTCAGACTTTGGAGTCGTGTGCCGGTTATTAGAGAACACATGATGCATAAAGCCCGACCAATTTGATCTTGGTCGTGTTGCTTTGCTTAAAAAACACCCAGAGTGCCAAGTCAAAGCATAGTTCAGGTGGCAATGTATGCAGAACCTGCAAGTGAAGAATTGGTTTGTAGATAACTGATGCCAAGCCCTTGTCTGGTGGGCTAGTGTACTGGAAAATTGGTACTCCTTTATCATTTACCAGCCCATCCAAATTCAAACGCGGTTGTCTACTGATCACATGCGATCTTGAGACGAGGGGGATGTCATCTTTCGGGGAGGAAACAGCAATAATTTCCATTCCGTGGAATGTTCCCTGACCATCTAGTGGTGGCTACATTATGGTCAACATTATCTGCCAACCATTGGGTAAAGGTGCCAGGAAAGTACTCAGCAAGAAGGTTTTCAAGGCTTTCACTGTGTATAACAGATTGCTTATACCTGTTCACTTCATCGTAACTGATAGAGAAACCCAACCGTAACAATTCATTGATTAGCCACTTCGATCCAAATACATGGTTAACCTCAACACCTAAGTCAAACAGGGTGGGAGCTATAACTGACCTTGGTCGGGCTGCCTGAAGAATGCAGTGTCCAATGCTGTTCTGCTAAATTAGTTCTGAAGGAACAATATGTGTCAAGAGTGTTTGTAGGTAATGGGGTATCCAGTTCTTGCTTCGTTTAACGTCTGCAATGTCATCATTAGTTGGATATGATTTGGAATCATATTTTCTTTCTCGAATTTCAGCTTTTATGAGCTTTGGTGCAGCAGTTACTATTCGTTCTGCTTCACTGTTGATGTCTTCTTTTTTTTCCGAGTACCATTTTTCAATTTTATGTTAGATGTTTGGATCACGATTTGTTGTTTCGTATTTATCCTTTAAATGAATGAGTTTCTTCAATATAAGTTAAAAACAAGTTGTAGAACAGGACGCGATTTTGTTTATATGTACCACAGGGAGCCCCAGTTGTAGAAGACTGGTGATTCATAGATTTATATAGAGTTAAAAAAGTAGTTAACTAATTTATATCCACTAAGTTAACAAAAAATAGTTTGTCAAAATTACGCCTATATTGATGAAAAAATGTTGTTTTAGCCCACCGTAACAACTATACTCAATTCTTTTCTCCCCTCTAAATTTCCCAAACACGATTTTTGCGGATTTTGCATATGTTATTCTACTAAGAATTGCGCTTCATTTGACACCAAAACCAGCTTTATACCATTTTTTTCCGGGTAATCCCTTCAATTCATCTTCAACGACCAGACTAAATAGGCAATGTTTTTATAAGCGACCGTTAATAGTTAGTTGCAAGCGACGGTAATAATAACAAAAACAAGGACAAGATGGGTCAAGGTTTTATCAAATTTATAACTAAATAACGTTATTCCCTTTAGATTTAGCTTTATTGTAACTTTTTAAAGATGTAAAAAACCCGTGAAAACAGTGAATTACTATAATAGATTGAAAATGATTATTATTTATCATTTTGACGTTTGAGTGACTGAAATGAGTTAATTTACACTACATCGAATGTCATGTTGAATGTAATGTTGGATCTTACGCGTACTTCACAATGGTTGCTATTTCGTTGTATTACTAGTTTCAATAGTATGCCTGAAATACTATTTATAATTCAAATTTTGTTTGATATTTATATATCATGTTATTTACAAAATGTGCTGTAGTTTTGAAGCTTTGCACACAATATAATCAGTCCGAGCACAATAGCTCCGTTTCAGTTTGAGTATATAAAAATCGAGTATTTTGATAGCGTTCGCGGCTTTAAATTAAGCCTTTCACGATATATAAATATAAACGCCTGATAATTGATAAATAATCACTAATCAGTGCGAGCACAACGGCTCCAAAATAACAACTAATAACAGAATACAAGATAAGCTAAAAACAGTAAAGCTTTACCTACCTCGATTTTTTTTCTGAAGCGCTCAATTATGTAAATTTTCGGCGAATAATCGATATTTCTTTGCGTTTCCTCCACGAAAACCCGGCATGAAAATGCTAGTCGAAAAAACTCGGTATTTGTCTTATTTTACGAATCTGCACGTGACTGGTACGCTCACCGCTTACCGCTACCCTCACCGCTCACCCTCACCGCTCACCCTCACCGCTCACCGACCGCGACACGAAATTTAGAGCTATATGAAAGTTGCATGCATATATGGCATGCAACAAAAACTCTTATTTGTATTTGTATTTGCAACTAAGCACAAAAGATATGATGTACTTTACGTTATGGGTAATGAGTTTCCCTTGTATTTAAATTTATTAAATTTAAAAGAAAAATCTACAAACAAATTCCAATAAGGTTAGTGACCATGCTATACAGGTATAGCCTACTATGTAATCACGTGATGGCGAGTAAAATGAACGATTAACATTGCGAGTGATATTTGAAAGTTTTGGCAAAATTGCAGAAGTGCTTAAATCCTTAACACCACGGGTAACGTTACATGATACCTTGACATGAATATTATTTGTCTGGAAAATTCAGTACGCATGTTATAAATCAATGCGTTTCCCAACGTTCTGTATTGTCTTTTAGTTCTAATTTTTAGAAGAGCGCCCACCTGAATAAGCATAAAAAAATTCGTGTCTTCTGTCGTATTTTCCAGTTCTGCATTCACTAAAATAACAACATGTACAACTGATAATTTGTCTGTAAGATGATTATTTACTTCTTAATACATTGACATTGTGCTGTTATACACACTCAAAATTTGCGACAAGTAGTTGCCTATTGTACGTCATTTCCTCTTCTAGTTGTAGTTATGAAAATGAGTCAATGGTACCAATCGGCTCCTTGCGGCTGGCGACATACGTGCATGATTACAATTTTGTATTTTGCTGTCTGCTAAACAAAATTAAATCATATATGCATCAAGTACTTACGCATGATGATTCCAAAATCATATTTTGATAAGGTTTTTTTCGCGTAATTTCATCTGGCAAAGTAAGAAACGGCTGATAAGAAAATCCTCAGGAATTAAAAGTGTAATAATAACCAGTGAGCTCTACATATATCTTGAGCGGCAATTCGAGTTCAAAAAGTGAAGCCAGCTTCGTGTTAACCGCGCAAGGAAAATTACTAGAATGACTTATAGCTCTTCAATATCCGCCATCTTGGCAAGGGCCGAATATTCGTCTTTTGATATCGATTTAAAGACTAAAATCAGTATGATTTTATGAACTGTAGACTTGACTAGCGATACGGCCGTTAGAAAGAACTGGATTTAGCTTGGGCGAAAATGGCATAAAAACTGTTTCCGACGTTCGGAGCTATCGGACGTCAATGGCCGCCATCTTGGCTTCACTTTTCTCATAGGACGAATGACTGAAGTTCTTGCTGCAGATATTCCACGATACGCAATTTTATTTGAAAGATCCATTTTCAAATTCTCCAAATATGCAATCAGTGATTTCACACGAACACTTTTATTCATCGCTTATCCACAACTTAACATTGAAGTCTCAGGCGAAGGATTAAAACATTTGAAATGAAACTTATATTAAACCGGACAGAAATGTTCAAAAACATCAAAAATAACCCACTCTGATCATAAGCGGCCCAAAAATGCCTGTTCAATTTTTTACCCTCGCGCGTGGCGCTCGGGCATGCATCGAGTCTACTCAGTTTATTATTACGACATAATAATAAACTGAGTAGACTCGATGCATGCCTGAGCGTCACGCGCGAGGGTAAAAATTTCAACACCCATTTTTGAGCTGCCTATGCTCTGATGACTAATTTTAAACCGAGTAATTTGGTGTAAGTTGCCGTGCCGCGTAATGTATAGTACGTCTTAATAAATAAACAGCACCGAAAAATATGTTTTTAGTTTATTTCATATATATCCCTCTTTTTAAACTAACAAAAACAAAACTTTCGATAAAAGTCTATAAATATGTGCCTGTGCTTTAAATGACTAAAATATCTGCAAATTTGCAACTAAAAACAGATATATTTTTTAGATTAATCTTGCTACGTGAGCTATCCCATAATTTTAATAATAGGTTTTATTATATGACATTGACGTGATTTTACCAAATAAGGTCATGAAAACACGAAAAATCTGAGAGCGGATTACACAGTAAAAAGCCGAATTGCCCTCGTCTAAAGACGCATTGCTCCGGCTCGTTTTGGTTAAGAACTTTAGATGATGCTTTCGTTTCCCCGGGTGTAAATAGCCCAGCGGAATTTGTACCATCGCCACGGGCGTTGCCCTACGCCCTACGCGCGTGGCTCGAGGACAATAATAGCAATCACAGATTTTAATTTATGAAGACATATAAACAATTGAAATTACAAATAGGCATAATTCATAAGATTAGAAATACATGCATGCAGTTACCCTCCGCATTTCGTAACATATGAAGTACATAAATTCCATATGAAGTATTGCATGTTTAAAATAATAGTTGTCGCTTGATAAGGGTAATTGATTTTCATACTCTGGAATCCAGTTTTATGTCAAGTGGCTTTCAAGATAGGCTAAAATTTAATGTAAAATAGGGAAACTGAAAACTCGTTTTGTCGTTAAAATACGGTACTGATTTGCTTCATAGGCAGAAGCTAGTTTTTAGTTATATTTTGG